GACTGGAGGGGCAGACTGAAGAAATTTTTACCGAAGACAGGGAGAATTTTTGGGCAACAAAAATTAGTTTTTGATGGAATGGCTCAAGGGTCAAAAAAAGAGGGAGAGAGCCAATGAGTTTTTTACTTAGAGGAGACTCCGTGTTAAATAGTCTACATACAAGAGGTCAAGCATGTGGTTGAGAGAAAAATGAATATCATAATGAATAACAAAAAATAAACAAATTCTTGAATAGATGACTGGAGCAAATGACTATTGATAAAGACTAGACCAGGGTTTGAAGACTACAAGGATTGCAGCACTAGACAACAGGACAAGATACCACGCAGAAACTAACAAAAATTGTATAATAATTTGAATTCTATTATTTAATCATTATTAATTAAAAGACTAAACAGAACAGGATTTTTAGGGATGAGGAGAGAGAGAGATGAAATTCCAACACAGACATCAAGGAGGGTTGAAAAATTCAAGCAGTGGCTCAAAGATCCCTATTGTGTGATTAATTTTTTCAATCATGGCCAAAGTGTGGAACTTGAGCTACCAGAGGCAGACCAGCAACATACAATCTGTCACATCTTTAAGGTGAAGCCTTGTTGGACAGTGGAAAGTAGCAAGGACACATACTTTTCAAAGCAAGTCCTATTCCTCTGGTGCACCATTGGACAGCTTCTGCCATAATTAAAATTCAAGACAACTCTGTGGCCATACTGTGGATAGCTCTGATCCTTTTCTTTGCTCTTAGTCACAAATGTACATGCTCACCAAAATTGTGGACAACATCTACTTGCAATTCTCATTCCTCCCATACACCCTAACCTATATTCTTTCCCCCCCCCCCCATCTCTTGTGCTGTTAATTTACCTTCCCCAACAATTCCTCATTATTCCTATGATTCCATTTTTGACCTTTTACTTTCTGCTCTTTCCTTTCTTTCTTTCTTTCTTTCTTTCTTTCTTTCTTCTTTTCTTCACTCTTTCATTTTTTCCCTTTGCTTCTCTCATTGCTTCCTCTTCACTTTTTTTCCTTTTCTTTCTTAGCTTTGTTTCTTTTTTATAGGGGGGTTGGGGGGAGAATGTGAGACTCCCAGTGTCAAGTTCCCCTCCTATGTAGCCCGGTAGTGATTCCTTGGAGTTGGACCATCCTTCTCTCCTTCGTGCAAGGTATAAAGCATCTTTCATTTCTCATTCCTTCTTCCTCTCTCTTTTGGTCTTTCTCTCTCTTCAGTCTTACTATAGTACGAACGCATAAGAGATCTCTCGGGCCCTCTTTCTCTCTATTGCGCTACCAAAAGCTAATTGGGTTCCAGAATCAAATATATCCAATTTCAAGGCCGCTTGGCTTTCCTTTGTTGAAGTTTGCGGATCCCTCCGAGTCCGACGACCAGTGCAGACCTGTGCAGATGGATCCGCCTCTCACTGGTATGCTGCGGGCCTCTCGGGTAGGAGGATTTTAAGACATATTTTAAGGCGTGTTTCTCCATCTGGATGGGTCGGCGAACAACCATCGAGGCTTGCACGCTGGAATTTTGTGCAAGAATTTTTGATTTTGTGTGAGGTATTCATATTCACATATCGCAGAGGAGCACTTGACTTGAGGCAAGCGAGGACCAGAAAACGCTCAAATACGCGGATACCCGGCCAGATTCTCCTCTATCCATCTCCTCTTGTGTTTGTTTTTTTTGGTTAATGCAGTGCTCTCCTGAGAGCTTCAGACTGCCGAGCAACCCGATACCCCATCAACTTTTTGCTAGACGAAACAAATTGCACAAACATCGTTGACGACTTTGTTGCCTAATGCCAGCTTACTCACCCCGTTTTCGCCGGCCCAACATTTCCACATTGGCCAACAGTCTGTCTGTAGATTTTCATCTTTAGTTAATGCAGAGCTCTTCAGAGTTCTTCAGAATGCAAAGCTTGTTCACAGGACTCCATCAACCTTTGCTAGACTGCATACATAAACAAACATGTATGATGTCTCTACTGCCAGATTTCTTTTGCCTTTCTCTCCGGCCCATTTTTCCACATTGGTGAACACCCATAATCATTCTCTATTTCCATTACAATCCCTACGGTGCAATTTAAAATCCTTCCTCCTACCTCTTCCATGCAGTTCATAAATCGTTTCGCAGCTCTTGCCCGGCATCTGATTCCAGGTCTGCTGCCATCAGAGCCCGCTGATTTGCTTGATTTTGATTCTGAAGATCGCACTCAAAGAGAAGACGCCTCATCATCATTGAATAATGATGAGCCTGAGTTGGAGACCTTTGAGTTCCAAATATTTACGCCTTACGACGATGACGATCGGATGTGTGAGTCGATCTGGTTGATGGATATGAACACGGCGAAGGTTTCCGTTCCTGACTCCATCTTGTAGCTCAACTTGCGCGTAGCAATCCAGAATCGAGACCAGCACCTGTTCCACTTTTCAAAACGAGCGTTTGGGATTATGATTACTCCCAATCAAAAACCAGACCAAGAGCCTACTCTGACGGTTTCCTCCAGTCCGAGGGGGGACTTCATGATCCACTGGTTCCTCTGCGCAACCTCAAGAGGACTGCCTCTGTTGATAGGGTCTCGCAATTTCGACTCGCCAACTCGGGCCAAGCGGACGTTCCCCACATATCATCTCTAGAGCCTCCCAGTAAGCTGAAGGGCCACGGCGATCACAAAAACCCACTTTCGGATCTGCTTTCAAAACCATTGTCCTGGACGGACAGTATCGAGTCTGGCTCCCTCAATCCGGTGGTGTTTCGAGTCAAACATGAGGCAGTCCCAACACCAGTGCCCTTAATTCGAGATATTAGCTTGGCTGACGGCGGCAGGTATAATCCTAATTTTTTTCTCCAATATTTTTAAACACGAAAACTTCTTCAGTACGCTTTGTTGCAGAAAATTTTACCAACTGAAAGCTGGATTACTCTTATCGCCAAAAATGAATTTACGTTTATAGAGTACTCGTAACCAAGACACACTATTGGCCCTTTGAAAGTTGGAGTTTGGCGCCGTTTCCCAGCTGTTTAATAGGTGCTATACCTTCTGTGTGTCATCGCTCAAGTTTGAGATGAAAGGGCTAACTCCTTTGCAACCGCGATAATACTTGAAAAAACACATAAAAAAAATCAGGTTTCCGTGTAGTTGTCGATCCCCATCCAGGAACAAGAGTCAAACGCCTCAACATACGTTTATCCCTCCGAAGCCACCCTGCCGAACCTGACAGCAAGCCACCCGTCATCCAAGTTAAATGCTGATCATTTCCTTTTCCAACTCGCTGTTTTCCCGCTGACGAACTTTTCTGATTTGGCCTGCCCATTCACCCTCATTCTTTGCTTATATGTACGTCTTTTGGTCCCTTTTGAAGGCAATCTATCCTCGTGATGGTGAGATTTGTGAAACTGGCGAGAGAAGCTCAGTTCATATAACGCAGGACAGGTCAGTTGGACTGCAATTAGGAGTGGACAAAGTAGGTTGTCACAATTGAAATTCAATAAGATTTCCTTTGACTCAAACGCTTCCTTTTCCCTTTCAATCACTACAACGTTACCAACCAAATCTCCCGTGTGATGTTGTAATTTACTGACGAATCATGGGAGCAACCAGTATGGCACGGTTCAATTCCATCGTGGTCAATCGATAGCATATGACAGTTTTACCGTCCCATATGTCTCAACTTCGGGAGTCCATACCTCATTGCTCAAACTTACGATGTCCGAAGACCGTCGCTCAAAATCTGGGGTAGTGTGCGCAACCAAGTTCTTTCTTTCAAATGATTATGTTCTCCGAACCAAACCCATGGCTTATGTATTGCCTCTGGTGACTTCCTAAAATGCATCACTGTGTCATACACTGATTAAAAATGGATCAGTCGGTCTTTGCACTTTGCAGCCCTGCTGAAGCTTGACATCTCGGCCCAAAAGCCCTTCCAAGCTAGGATGGAGCTCGACACCAAGCCCAGGGGCTGGGTAGATCTCCCTTGGACCTCGTGGTTCAGTCAAGGGTGGGTATGGGATTGCTATCTTCCGATGTTGTGATTTGAAGCCCTGCAGTGCAAGCTTCTTGATCGACCCTGAAAATCAACGATGTTAAATCCATCTTAATTTTAATGTAACAGGACGTGGATTTTGGATTACGATGGTAAAAGCAAATTCGGTCAATTTGTATTCAGCATGTAAGTCTCCTGAGCTGGTTTTAGTCCCTAAAAAGATTTCAATCTCTGCACCTCCATAATGTTGTCTGAGGAGGAATATGATCTGACCAGCAACACATTTGTCTCCACAACAGGGAAACGATCCTAAAGAAAACAAATGAGGAACCATACCCACAACCTATTCCCACTCAGTTACTCATATATTCTGCCCTTTTTTGTGCTTTCATACTTGTGTGCGGCTATTTTATCTCTTTCCCCAAGAATCAATCGAAATGAGACACCAGGCTTTATTTCTATCCACCTTCTCCGTTCATCTGTCATAACAAAAGAAATGATGGATGAACGGAGAAGGTGGTTGATCTTTAGTTTGCTCAGTTGCATGTAATGTATCGTCCACAAAGCAGGAAGACCATGGGGGGAAAGCTGGTGTTGTGAATAATAATGCATAAATATGTGTGTTTAGGCATTTGCTTGATAGAGTGAGGGTGTTCTGATGAGATGATGAGTCGGTCTTCTTCTGGAGTTCTTGATTCCCAATTTTGGAGGACCGATCAGATCAGGAGCCCTATATAACATAAGCCAGTTCATGCGCATTTATTACTTCGAACTCAGCAGGAGAAAAGGAGGAACACCTTGCCACGAACTGAATCCGAAATGAAATCGAGCTGAAGAAGGTCAACAGGCTCATGAATATGTAAATACAGCCTCGGAGCTTCGATCGAAGAACAGATTAAATTAAAAACAAAAACAAAAAAACTGTGAGTCGTCTTACTACCACCCTAGAAACCTCTCAACACTCAGGTCAACAACCGACATCCATCTTTTCACTCGGAAACACCAATCTAACTTGCCAGCAGTCACGGAAGAAACGATATAAATTCAAAACAATGTCAAGCTGTTCGGACGAGAAGATAGAAACCAAAGCGCCGGTGCTGATCGAGACCTTACCGGAGCTGGTCGAGGATGATAACCAGCTGATCAAGATCGGCATCGCCGCCATGGATCGCAAGGCCAGATCCAAGCCGATGCGTAACATTTTATCCAGACTCGTGGCTACCAACAAATTCGAATGCATCATCTTTGGCGATAAAGTGATCCTGGATGAAGGTATTCATTTTACTTGACAAATCCCTTATCTCACTTGTCCCCCTTGTATCATTCACTAATTCATGGCCATGGTTTCTTACTTTGCTGAAATGTCAATTAGACGTCGAAAATTGGCCGGTTTGTGACTTTTTAATCAGCTTCTTTTCGACTGGCTTTCCGATGGATAAAGCTATACGATACGTCAATCTGAGGAACCCGATCCCAATAAATGATCTCCCCCTGCAAAAGGTATGTCGGATTGGCCTACTCAAAATTTCTCCAAACCTGAGGCCAACATCATGTGTCTCTTTCTTTGCAGCTTTTCTGGGATCGTAGATTAGTGCTAGCAATCCTAGATAAAATAGAAGTCCCGACTCCCAAAAGATGTGAATTAAACCGCGATGGAGGGCCGAAGGTGGATAAGGAGGTGGCGAGTGAGATCGAGCGTCGATTCGGATTGAAGCTCAATGCCCCACGTCCGCCTCCTAAATCGTTTCAAGTCCAAAACGACTCGGCTCTGCTGATCGATGGTATCAGGATGGAGAAACCGTTTGTTGAGAAACCCGTCAGTGGTGAAGACCATAACATCAATATCTACTTTGGCGGAGGTAATGGTGGCCGGAAGTTGTTTCGCAAGGTGCGCAAGTCCCCCCTATTTCTCATCCTCTCATTTGAATATGTGCCGTTGGGCTGTATTCCATCTAGGCGACTAGGCACTTATGTCCCCCCCCCCCCAAAAAAAAAAAAAAATTCCTCCACAATATCTATATATCCAGATTGCAAACCAGTCCTCAATTCTTGATCCTGAGCTATCAGATCCACGTACAGAGGGCTCATTCATATACGAGCAATTTATGAAGACGGACAACTATGAAGACATCAAGATATACACCCTCGGCCCGGATATCGTGCATGCGGAGACCCGCAAGTCGCCGGTAGTCGATGGGATTGTAAAGAGAAACTTGGACGGAAAAGAGATTCGGTATGTGGTCGAGTTGACCCCCGAGGAACGCGAGATCGCTCGCAAGATTAGCACGGCTTTTAGTCAAACCGTATGTGGCTTTGATATCTTGAGAGTCAAGGGAAAGAGCTACGTTATCGACGTTAATGGGTGGAGCTTCGTCAAGGGAAACGATAGCTATTAGTTGAGCATTTTTGATACATCTGACCTTTTGCTTGTGGCGCATCGGCAGGTCGGGCGCATTATTTCATCATGTAAATGATCTGACCTTTTTCTTTTCAACCAAATGTCTACATGATGATGCACAATAGTGATAAATGTGCTGACACGTTGGCCAAGTTTTGCTTGAAAGCAATGCCCTCATTGACGCTTCCATCGCCCAACCCCCGTCAAGATTCGAAACAGAAACCGACAGTTTCTTCTTGGAAACTTAAAGCTATGATCTGTGTTTTCCGCCATGCCGATCGGACCCCTAAAAGTATGATATCACTTTTCTTTATCTCTTTGTTCTTTATTTTTTTTAGATCAAGCTGGTTTTCCCGAGAATTTTGATCAGACTTACAATGGAGCTAAGGCTGGCCTTCCGCACGGGGCTCCAAGTATTACTAACTACGGGCCCCTCTTGATTATCTCTGTTTCTGCTTGCTTTGCTATGGCGTTCCCGTAAAGATCAATTGGTGTCATTGGGTGCTACAATTTTTGCTAATCAACAATTTTGCTTTTTTTTTCAGATAAGTTGAAGTTCAACTTTACTGCAGACGAGCCTGGTTCTCAGCCATTTATCAAGCTTTTACAGGGAAGAAAAGGTCAGGACGATTTCTTTGCTGGACGAAAATTCCCTACCCAATTTTATGCACTTCAGTTGGGCTGAGACATGAAAACCTGTCTTTTCAGATGAGATTATTCTTCGTACCAGTGATCATTTACAGCTGATTGCCAGTGCGACTGATGAAGCGATCACGATTGACAACTCGGACCAAAGCAAGCTAGAACGACTCAAGCTGATTCTTTCCTCCAAGATGGGCAAGCAGGGACTCAAAGCTCAATTGAAACCTAGCTTCAAAACCGAAGATGGCTCCTTGGAGAAAATCACCATCGTCATCAAGTGGGGCGGCGAATTCACTCATGCGGCTCGATATCAGTCTAGGGATATTGCTGAAAATTTCGCGAAGGATTTGAGAGTCATGAGCAAGTAAATCGCTCGATTTCTTTTTTTGCAGCCAGTCTGATGATTGCTCACATTTCACTGATCCTGTGGTACGCTATCTCGAAAATAGAACTATGTTGGACGACGTGACAATATTTACTTCATCTGAGTGGGTTCTCGTTTCATGACAGTAGTCATAAGCCTTTCGCTCACAACAGTTTCATGCTTGTTCTGGACATCCAGGGGAAGAGTAGTTGCAACTGCTGAGATATTTAGCGCGTTAGTAGTCTATCCCTCCATCGTAGATGAACAAAAATTATCGAAGTCTCTTAGCTGAGCTGGTCTGTATATTTTCCTTAGTGGTTTGCGGGAGGCTTGCAAGGCCCATAGTAAAACGGAGCCTAAGACAATCCCCCTGGTCACACGCAAGGATCTTCTAGATGACTCCAATGCTGCCAAAGAGCCAGTATGTAGCCCAATTTCTCACATTGCTCCATGCTGATGAGCATGTATGATTGACTTGATTTCGCTTACTTTTTTTCTACAAATGTGCTAGATGGATCGGGTCAAAAAACGATTAAAAGTGCTTCTGAGACATAATCAGGGAATCGAGGTTGATTGGCCGATTGCAGACAAGGAGCCCTTCGATGTGAGTATTTGCTCACAAAATCATTCTTGCAGTGAAGGTTGTTTCATGAGCTTGGATGCGAGTTTTGATTTTTGACTTGTTTTGGTTCTGGGGAGTAGGTCGTCCAAGAAGTGATTGCGATTTTAAAGGAACAGCGTGATGTGATGCACATGAATTGGGAAAAAATAGATGTTGAACAGATTCAATCACGTTGGTAAGCTTAGGATATTTGAACAAATGCGCAGATTAAATTAGCGGGATCCATTTGGTTGTTGCACCTCTGAATGCCCCTCACGTTTGGTTGTCTTCCTCGAATCGATAGGTGCTGTGGCGAGTGTCCGGTTTTATTCAAGGAGCGCTGGGACAAGCTATTTAGCGACTGGTGCGATGGTGCACTTGATCCTTCAAGAGTTTGCGAATTATACGATTCATTGAAGTATGACTCCCTACACAAGTAAGTACATTCTTAGTCAAAGATTTCAAAACGGCCCGTTGAGTAATTTCCTATTTACGCGGCAGTCGGACATTCTTGGAAACGATTTTTTCGAACTCTTCGACATGGCCGTCCCCAGTATGCAGCGATGCATCATCTCCTCTGGCCATGCCTGGTTCAGCACCATCGATGATGTCTTCCGGCTCTTCATTCTCTTCCCACCAACATTTCAACCCGATCGGTCTAATCCGAAGTGGTGACTCATCGCCTACGCCAATTACGACTTCGGCAGTCTCGCTTGCTCACCATCACCATCCTCGACAAGCTTCGCTCAAGTATTCAAACCCGCAAAGTCCGGATGGAACTATCAAGGATGATGATGCTGGTTGGTGCGAGACAGAAAGCTTGCAGCGCTTGAGGAAACTTTACAAAGATGCAAAGTTACTTTTTGATCTTAGTTCGTGTCAACAATCTAAATCAAATTTTGCATTGTCAATTGTTCTTGTTTTTCCATGTTTATAATTTCCTTCTTCATTACAGTTGCGCCCCAGGAATATGGAATCGACCAAAGCGAGAAACGTGAAATCGCTCTGTTGACATCCTTACCTCTCTTGCAGAAAATCGTGAACGATTTGAATGCAGCTAAAGAAAGCCAAGGAGGTCTTGCTAGATTCTATTTTACTAAAGAGTCACACATGTAAGATTTTTTCTCGTTTCTCATCAATCTTAACTCGCCTAATTTGCATTTCTTATTCTTTTTTCGACGTATTGATAATTGTTCCCCATCTGATCAACATCCGTCGCACTCTCCAAACGATAACTTACACATAGGCACACCTTAGTCAATTTAATCAAGCTATCCAAATTGAAACTAGCTCATCGAGACGTGATGGAATTAGATTACATGGTAAATTCAACCGCAGAGAGAAAAGCCAGGATGTTAACGGACTGTTGACGAAGGTGTTTATTCTGTTACTTTTTTTCTTCCCCAATTAAAAACATCAGGCCTATCTATGCTTCGAAGTTTACGAGCGAATTTCAGAAGTAGGGAAAAGCGAACATTCTGTGCGAATTTCGCTGTCTGAAGGCGCCCATGGAATCCCACTGGACACTAGTCTGGATGCCAAACACGCTTTGCAAGTGATCCCACGAAAGTAAATGTGCTCGGAATTACTATGACTGTATGATCATCGATGTGATAGCTCAACGGGTGTTGACTCTTTCGGTCACACAGACAATTGATTCCTCATAAAGACCTTGACGAAGTGATCGCTAGCCTAGAAGATTGGGGCGAGAATCTGTTCGAACTGAAGAAGAGTACGACCCCGTATGATGGCTTCTTACCGCTCGAAGGCGAAGACATCTTTTCCAAGGAAAGCCTCAAGCTCTCTCCACAACCTCAGACCAGCTCATAATCGACCCGGGCTCGACGATCACAAATAGATTTCAAATTCCTCACATTCCTGTATTCTGTATTCGTTTTTCTATCATCTTCTCTTAGTCTTACCTCCCGCAGCACACCACTGATCATTATTATAATCATTTTCTATTGGACCAATCGTCCCTCGCATCTAATTCAACAAGTCACTCGAATCCATTTCAACAATTCTTTGCGGATTGTGTACATACACAGATAGAAGCCCAACCTAACCGGCACTCCGACTTATTCTTTCTTCCTAATATAATAAATGTATCTTCGTCTTTCTCCCGCGTTTACTTATTCATCCTTGTTGTTACATATTGTTTGTCAAACTGTTTGACGATCATGGGAATTCGATTCTGGTTACGTGTTCTGTCGTGACAGGCATGGGACATATGGCCGAGTGGTCTAAGGCGCTAGCTTCAGGTTCTCATCTTGACTCGCTAGTCTTCGGGCGTGGGTTCGAATCCCACTGTGTTCACATGCTTTTTGCGATCGCGGAGTGAAACACTGGCAGTGGAGACACCCGACCTTTTGGCCCAGAAAAGCTGTTTTGATAGTTTATTGGTTGGTGCCTTGGATTGTTTGTTGTCCCTGGGCTTGCATTAGAGCAACTCCAACGGAGCCGCGATTGGGCGTCCGGGGGCGAACTTTTACAGCCCGGGAGTCCATTTTCCTCTCCAACGGTCCTGCGGTACAACCCTGGGAATACTGCCGGGGGCACTCAAACCCGCAATCGGCTGCTGACTTCTGCCAGTCACCTCCCAGCCGCGATTCCCATATCGTCCACCCACAACACTACATACGACACCAAACACCCCAAAATGATGACCGACACCGATCCACCATCTTCCAAATACACACCCACCCAAACACCCAGTTCCCCAAAGAAAAAGAAAAACAACCAAAAATCAAAATCGATCCCCCAAACCAACCAACCGACAATGCAACAAAAAAACAAGCCGACCGATGATGCAACCTCCAAACCGGCTTGTTTCCCTTCTTATCAAGACCATCTCTTTTTATTACTGCTTCTCACTCTTTTTGTTATTGCTTCTCACCTCACCAAAATTGTAATTTCAATTGATCTCCACTAAAAGAGAAAGAGAATAAAAAAACCTAGAAACAAAACATAAGAAGTGAGAGAAACATACAAAAAGCTAAAAACAAAACATGAGTGAAAAGCAGAAAAAATGTGAGTGAGAAGAGAAGGATAAAGTGTTGTTTGGAGGGAGGAAAGGATGCCGTCGTTGTTGTCCATCGATCGGAGAAGATCTTCCATCGATGTGGTGTGTTGGAAGGGATGTGGGTCGGTTGATCAGTTGGGCAGGTTGGTAGCTGCACGGCTGGGGCACTGCCAGTCCATTATTGGAACTGACCCGCGACCTCTGTGACATGGGGTCGCGGCCCGCGGAACGCAAGCGAGTTGCCCCCCGAACCGCTGGAGTTGCTCTTAGGGTTGAGGGCTCCACTTTTGGAAAAGTGCATACTAGAGGGTGACTCCAAAACCATCAGCAATGTGCGCCTTTGTCAGGTGCACCAAGGGCACTGTTTTTTGCAGTAAAAATCATGTATTGCCATGTTTTTTGATTTTTTGCATGAACAATTTTTTTACCCCAAGAAAATGAGTTCAATCAACAAGAAAACCTAGATACTAAAGCTTTTATGGGCAGTTGATGGATGACTTCCTCAGAACTCTTGTCACATCCATGTGAATTTTCCATTGGCAAATCACATTGGATTTTGCAATCTGTCTGCATCCAAAATCATAGTTTGTCTTGTTGACATCTAAGTGACATCCCTCTATAACTCTAGTGGACCACCTAGCTATGACATCACCTTCTTCTCTTGGCTCTCAGACAATCGGTCAGACTCTCTTTTATCCCCTGCAAGAACTCGCTCGATCCTCGCTTCTGCAAACGCTCGATCCTCTTCCAATTGCGACTCTCGAATACAAGAACTCGACTCTAATCGCATCTCATCTATTTCTTCTTTCCTCGGGGAACTCTTTCGACTTATCTTCATCCATCAGCCTTCTTTTCACAATCTTCATCGCTGATCAGTTCCTCCGTGTCTCGTTAAAAACTTTACTCGAAGACAAAACTCCGCTTAGCGCTTTAGTTCGCTCATCCCTTCTTTCCGACTGCTCACCGATTCTCGACTACTCATCGCAAGACGTTCTTCATCTAGTATGTTTTCTTCAGACTGTTTTCTCTCTCTTGTCATATTGACAGGAAACTAATCCATCATATATTAGTTTCTACTTTCTTTTGCCTTTCCTGTTTCTTTGCCTTCTCTCGTGTCGTAGTCCTGCCACTTGTGTTGTCATTGCCTTTAGGTACTTTTCTTTCTTTTTCTTTCATTTCTTTCTTTTATTTCTTTTGTCACAATCTTGTTACTTATAAGAAATAAAACCTTTAGTTTAAACATTCACATGTCTGTATCCAAAATCATAGTTGGATGCACTAATATATCAATGCATGCTGCTTCTGCTTATGCAGCATACATATAGACCAAGGCCTAGTGAGCCTGGCAAGCAATTGGTTTTTTTTTGTTTGGTTTGTGATGAAAAACAGGTTTTACAATTGACTCTAGAACCAGCCACCAAAACTAAGTAGCAAAAACAAGTTAGAAAAGAAATATAGCAAACAATTATTCAATAAAACAGAAGAAAGAAAAAGAGCAAAACACAATGAAAGTTACATTTTATGGGAAGCAAAGCAGTGCCAGACAGAAAAAGATAGACAAGAGCAAAAAGTGACAAGTAGTGTGAGCTTTGAGAACATGAGGGTAACAATAAAACAAGGTTTAATGTATTGGTTGGATACAAGAAGAAAGAGGGAGGTTGCTCATGTGTAATTTCTGACCAAATTGGCAATAGCCAATTCAAAGAGTTCATTGAGAACATTGGAGTAATCAGGATTGATGAGGTGCAATGAGAGTAGATATTCAAGTGATGTGAAAATTAATGGGATTTTCCAATGAGAGAGAAAAGCAATAGAATATATAAAATGAGAGAAGGGATGAGGTGGAAGCAGAAGGGAAGTTTGATGATTGGAATTTTGAATGAGGTTTTCAAGTGGTTGTTTGAGGATTAGTGGGCTGAGCAGGAGTTGTTGAGAAGATGGGTTAAGAGTTGATGATTGGAAGAGCTGCTGAGGAGGAAGAGAAGATTCAACAAAGTTGAGAGCTTATGATACCTGAATCACCATTTTTGACTGCCAGAGTGAGTGAGGCTGATGAGGTGTTTGAGTTGTGGTTGTGTGGTTGGAGACATGAGAAGTGCTTTGACAAATGGGGAAGAAAGAGAGTAAATGTGAAAAGAAGATGGAGGAAGAGAGAGATTGATTGAGAAAAATATGAGGAGAGAGGAGGTGATAGAAGATAAGTGAGCAGCAAGCGGAGAAGGAGAGAGTACAAAGAGCCGAGCTGAGCAGAGAGCAGAGAAGGGTCAGATTCCAACAGTTTGGAATAATTTTGACTTCAGAATTGCTCCTTTCAGGCAATTTGGACCCTTGGCAACCCAGGTGGAGTACAGGTTGTCCAACTGGGAGCTGGTCTGACTGCTTTCCATCAAATGGCTGGACCAGTACCTTCTGACAATCTACAGAGATTCCAGATATGAATATCATTGCATCAGCATACATCCAACTTTGATTCTGGATGCACACAGATTGGAAAATCCAGGGAAAATCCACCCAGATGTGAAAAGGGTTCTGAGAATGGCTGTACAAAAAATAATGTATTATGTCATTCCAATAGCTTGATTGATGTGTGATGAACCAGACACAACAAACCACCCCAACACAGCATAGTGCTTGTTTGTACACACACCCCTGCATTTGGTTGGTAATATCAGAAGACTGCTCATAGCAGGTTTCCTCTGCACCAACTAACTAATGCACCAGCTGGTGTAAACCATTATCATTCAAGTGCCCAGATCATTACTATCATTTTTAACATGCTGCTGCTGTATGTAGGGTTAGGGAGTGGCTGGACCACTTCATCAACCTGCTGTTGTCTCTTTGGGTTTTTACTCTCATCTACACATTTTGCACAAATGCTCTTCTACAATGAAACAATACAGCTAAATCAGTGAAAAAATGAAGGGAAAACTTGGTTTGACAAGTAAAAAAGTGAACACAGTGGGATTCGAACCCACGCCCGAAGACTAGCGAGTCAAGATGGGAACCTGAAGCTAGCGCCTTAGACCACTCGGCCATATGTCCTTGTCCATGCCAACTTGGAGTATGTTCCGGCCCCGATCCCGTATGGACCCGTCTGGTTGATGTTCAATGTCTACAGGGACCGTTGAGTCAAGTACCGGATGGTTGATGAAGATTGGGAGAGAGCTGACTACGCCGAACTTGAGAGTGAGTATGATCAATGGAACGAGAGCAGAGAGGGGTCCATGAGCCGCTGGACCAATTTCGCCTAAGCAAAGATGGCAATCGCGCGTAGTGGGGCTGGTGATGAACGAAGACGATCGATCGCAGTATGGCCACAAGTTCGGCTCGCTGTGACGGAAAACTAGGTATTTTACGACGATGTTCACGATTCGAGAGCAGAGGTCTGGAATGCGAATGAGGGAAGATCCAGTTGGGGTGGTGACTTGAGTGCCTCCCATCGAATCGACTTCGAAAGGTTGATGGTGTTGATTTTTCTTTCGTCAGCCGGTCTCAGTGAGTTCGCCTTCATCGTTTCGCCCGTGCATGCCGGCTTCCTCTGCAGCATCAAGGGGGTTCCGTCTACAAAATCCCCATGAGCGTTGGCGTTCCGTTTCTCGTTTCTGTTCGATGCTCGCAAGTAGGAAAGGTAAGAAAACAGCGCATAAAAGGTCAAGTGCGGCGTGAAGGTGGTGGTTTCTGAACCCCACAGGTCGAACAACGGATTGATGAGAGTTGCCAGGACCCCGTGAAGCCCGAACGCACATCCTCCCCCCGAATCTGCCGCAAACTTAAAAGCACAGGGTGAAGCGCAGCGATGGCGATCCTCACTCTGCGGGAGCGTGATCCGTGCGCAGGATGTACCAATGCCATCATATTTTGTTGCTGCAGAAGGTTGCCGCTGATGACGCCGCGTTCCCAACCACTGACGCTCGACTACATAGACTGCTCCATTATGGCCGAAAAGGAGACACCACCTGTAGTGACTGGAACTCGCCCTCCACCATCTGTCACAATCGCCGAGCCACTTCTCTCCTCATACCTCTATTCCACCAGCGATCGCAAGGATATCACCGAGGAGGAAGAACAACTGAAGCGCGATAACTGGATTATGGGGATCGATGAAGCTGGCAGGGGGCCAGTGCTAGGTGAGTATCCACAGATGAGTTTATATCAATCCAAGGCTCGGGTCGCAGTGCTGACTTATGGGGTTCAGGCCCGATGGTATATGGCGCTGCGTTTTGCACCCAGGCATTTGCAGAAGACAAATTACTCGACTTGGGCTTTGCCGATTCGAAGACTTTGACCCATAGACGGAGGGAGGAACTGCTGGAGATGATCGTACATCCCCCCGCGGACCAACCCCTCAATGAACGAGTTGAATGGAATGTCAAGGTCTTAACACCAGCTGATATCAGTCAAGGAATGAACCGACGATCACCATACAATCTGTAGGTGCACATACACATCAAAAATGGCACGTTAGCAGGAGGAAAGAGGCATATCTGACAAATCTCTGTTTCCTACTTCGTGCTTGATCTGCTCCGGAAACATGCATGCAGTAACGCCCAAGCATTCGATGCGACTTGTGAAATCATCCAGCATGCTCTGGACCTTCAATACAATCTCCAACATATCTATGTTGATACCCTTGGTCCCCCCAAAACTCATCAGATGAAACTTGAACAATCCTTTCCCGGAATCAAATTCACGGTTTGCTCGAAGGCCGATTCAATCTACCCAATAGTGGGAGCGGCCAGTGTTGTGGCTAAGGTGACCCGAGACGCCATCGTTTCACATTGGATCCACCCTGAATCAACTCATCCTCAAAAAAGGAAGTCTAGTCAAGAGGATGAGGATGCTACCACCTCCTTGGGATCTGGTTATCCTTCTGGTTAGTACTCGTTATGACCCCAAATCACCAGGCCTATCATCAGTGTAATGGCCCATCACGATGATGGAGAGAAAAAAAAAAGCATGCCAAGCAAATTCCTTGCTAACGCCTTGAGGCTTGAGCAGACCCCAACACAGTAAAATGGCTAAGCGAAAACTTCAACACTATCTTTGGATTTGGACAACTTGTTAGATTCAGCTGGGGTACAGTCAAAACGCTCTTGGCCGATCGAGGGCCTGCATTCAGTTGGTACGCTACCCTATCTTCTATGTCGAACTTTTCTCCATCTGCTGAATTTGTTTTTCGATCCCAACCCCTGGAAATCATGTTTAGGAATGACGAGCCAAGTATCCAAAAATGGTTTAAACCGGTTTCGCAATGTCAAGCAGAGACTGCCCCTGTTGGGTTCTGTCAAGATCTGGGCTTGAGATCGGTAGACTCTCTTTGAGTCGTGGCGGTCACTCACCTCTTTTCCTGTTGGGCGGCTCGCATGTGGAAATTGCTGAATATGTACTGCTATAAGTTCTTTTTTTCACTCCATGCACAAATCCTTATTTATTTTGCTCTCGTGGCCTTGTAACCTCCCACTCGTTTCGCAAATTTCACATGCGTCAACTATTTCTTTTTTCTTCGGGGTTCAGACGAGCATTTCCAACGTTTATTGCTTGTGGGTCCAACACTGACATAGTAAGAAATGAAGTAATGTCAAGTTAATGAGCACTTGACCAATACTCAAAAATTCAAGTTCCTTCCCAACGCCGTCCTTTCAACCTTGGTGATGACCAACTTCTACATGTGATTTTGATCAGTTTTGATTTACTTGACTTCAATCTGCCGCATGAACGCAAATACTACAAAACGATGAAATCATTTTGACAGCGGGGAAATATGAACAATGAAATCATTTTGACAGCGGGGAAATATGATGGAAGCAGCGGGTAAATATGACGGGGGCATAGCAGTCTCAGAGGTACGTTTGGGGTAATGGTACACTTCACACACCCGTTCTCATTCATGCCAGTACTTATCGCTGCCATTCGACATTTGAGATGAAGTTTATTTTTGGAAGAATTAAGTTTTCCTAAAAGAAGAGTTTTGATACAAATTGAAAGGTGAAATCGGGTCGGGAGGCTTGTATTTCCGATTATCGCTTGGTTGAGCATTGTTAAGAAGTTCTACACGCGAAAAAAAAAGAAAAGGGGTTTACACGAACAAACAAGAAAAATAGGGTTCAAGAAATTTGGTGTTGTGTCTATCAAAAAATTGAGATTAAGAAAAGTAAAGGTCCGTGTTACAACCAGCACCGCCAAATTTGGGCTAGCATTTGTGGTATTAGAAGGAGAAAAACACCGGCATATCATTCTTGAGTGTCATGAAGTGGGGACCTAGAATCGCTGGATTGCGTTGACCCATGATTGCCCTGGTCGTAGAGCCGAAGTAGATCATTGAAGACGTGCGACGGCCTGCGGAAGGGTAATGGTAACGTCTTTGGGACCTTTGGAGGTGGAGTCACTTGTTCTTCGGCTGATTCGGTTTCAATGACAAATTCCTCATCTGGGTTTCTCTCTGGTTCTACTTCCCATTCGACTTGGCCCACCAATTCCATCTCTGAGTATGTCAACAAAGGACTAATTGCAGTGCTCGTCAGCGACATGGAAGATGCCTTAAAAAAATTGCATACCACATACCTGTCAGACCCAACTCTGCCCAAGATGCTCCTAGACCAGGCATCCGTGTCATCGTACAGTTCGTAAATATCAACGGTTAGGAAATCACGGCTGTGAGACCTCAAGAGTCCTTCGTCGTTCGACCAATTCGATGGTGCAAAAGGGGAAAGCAAAGACCTGTTGCCAGCGGTGTAGACCATCAAAAGATAGACTACCAGTACTTTGATCACAAGGTGGTCCAGGAGAATGAAGCGGATTGTGTGTAAACTGTGAATTTCCGCAATTTCAGAATCATTGTGCAATTAGTCTAGTGCAAAAAAGCATGCTGCGACAGAAGGCGGATTGGTTTTCAGAGCACTAACAGTGAGTGGAGAATGTGTGGTTGGCCCCTTCTGTCCCGAGAATCGTATTTTGGTGGTAGGTCTTCTTCAATTGGAGACAGCAGTGAGGAATAGTACCCCAGTACCTGGGATTTGGCTTTTTCATCGAGCGGCGACGCGCCGTTTTGGCACAGAGATGATTCCCAAGTTATCGCGGGCTTCTCTTCAGTCCAAACGATGCAATCACCGCTGGCAGGTGCGTTATCGGTGAATGATGGTGGGTTCATATTCCTTGATGCTTCACGAACTCTGTGGGGTCGATAAAAACGTACAACAAGTAGGGGTGCAAACAGGTTAGGAAAAATGCCATTCTTTCAGTGAAGAATCAGGTGATGAGATTTACCTGTAAATATATTAGAAAAAAGGGTCTGCAAGAAGTTTCCAAAAGAGCTTGAGGATCTTGCGCAGGTAAAGTGCAAGTCGTAATTAGTAGTGCTTGCTCCGGTACTTGGTCAGTGGGTCGGAAGCAATCCTTGGGTCCTCTTGCCAACCGCGTGAAAAAATGTTTCTGAAAAAAAAATCTAACTCTCCTCGATTACCAAGAGAGAATTTGTAGGTTTGAAGATGAAGTAAAAGGGTATCCGTCAACCGGTAACAGGATGCAAATGCTACGCTGAGCTTGCTATGTAAAGTGTATGCACTGGGAAACAAGAAAAGAAGAATGATGCCAATTATGCCCAAATAGAAATAAAGCCTAGGAATAAGAAATGTAAGAAAGCTGTAAATATGTATGAAGGGCGATGAAATGTGGTATGAACACGCCACCTTTAAAGTACTTCGAAGGATGTATGGTTTGGTCCGCACAGCCAATGCCACAATGGCATGGATATGTTGAGATGTGTTATTACTGTAATAATTCGCCCACGGGTCAAGCCAAGCGATATAGCTCGTGACTGCATCGGTGCGTGACCACCGTGACTGCTTGATTGTCCCGGCAACGAGGACTGAGGGCCAGCCTCTTGACCGATTCGTCGTGGCTCCTCATGTCCGCCCCATGTCCTCCACCTGCGGTTGCCATCACTATGACTGATGAGTCAGCCCGATATGAAGAACCACTGATCCCCGCTGATCCAGTGTAGTTTTCAGTTGTTTCCTCAGAGCTCACTGTACGACCGTAGGCACGGTGACATATTAGATGCAATGCCCGGCTATGCCCGTCCAGCGTCTTGACCGATTCGTCATAGCTTCTCGTTTCTCAAGTTCGCCATTGGCCGTGCGTTGGCGCATGGGTGAGACTATCCCGATAAATCTGGATCAGCAATCATTGCGACAAGAAGAAAAATAAGTAAAAACTTTGGCGAAGCGTAAACATAACAGTAGTTACAAACGGTCTGAGAACCGACCGATCTGAAGAATTAACGAGCAAAAGTACACCACGGGTGCACCCAATGGTTCTTGAGTCGTTCTCAAGAACCATTTGGGTTCTCGAGTCGTCTTTAGAACCAAATTGGTTCTGAGGACGTTTCTGAGTTGGTTTGGAGGCGACAGCGATTCGGCTCCAAAACGCTCAGCTAGCCGCCTCTAAGTCGTCTTCCAGGCGCAAACGTGTAAACGTTCTGGAGGCGTTTTCAGCTTGCTGGGTGTGAGACGTTTGCCAGGCGTTCCACCCAGTCGTTTTGGAATCGTCTTCGTGCACCCGTGGTGTATCAGGAAAACTGTCTTAGAGAATTATGATTAACATGAGCGACAGTCACACTAGGGCCTTCTCGATCTGCTACTCTACCGGCGGTCATACCGTGCAAATTATACCTGCTGGTCGGGGATAAATTATCCTCGTTGAGTACCGAGGGGCCCACCCTCTGTAGAGGAATCTTCCATACTAAATGGACGCAAGGTGCCCCCGCTCGCCGGAGAAGACTCCTCCATGGCGAGTGGGCACATACCGGTTAATTTCCAGGGTAGACGTATTCATCCATCCCTCAGCAAGCAAGGGCACGGTGGTCGCCAACAATAATTAAATTTGGGAGGGGCGTGGTAGCATAAATCTCTCGCTGAGGAGCTTTCTTCGGTGAGCGGGGATAGGCCCCTCTTGGTTGAGCACCTTGCCCCTGCTGGACTCCGCCTGCTAGGACTCTCCGGGAAAAAAATTGTCCCGGCTAGCAAGTGTGAATACTTGCCGAGGAGGAAACTTCCTCGGCAAGCTAAAGCATACCTAACGGCGTGTTGAACACGATGGACGAGCCGCACTGCCCGGTCACCGGTTCCCTTTGCGCAAGTTCTCCCGCTACGTTACAGAATCAAGATGTAAAAATGCTTAAGCTCCTAGTCACATTGCCCCTTTGAACAGATGAAAAATGGTGAAATCAACCACCACCAAAGCGATTGTCACCTCGCGCATGTGGGCAATTTCATTTTAAGATTTGAATTCATGAAAAATCCAGCAATCGAATCAACTGTATCTCAGATTACCAACTACTCACGTGGCCGACCGGCGAAACTGCACTAAATTAAGACAAGTCCCTCGATTCACAGTACCTCCACACCTCGGCCCATGAAACAACGGGATGGTGTTAAGAACCTTAGCTGGGCCCCAAACATACAGTTTGCACCTACATACAACTGTATTTGGGCTAATAAAAAGAACATGACATAGAAAGATTAGAAAGAGTATGGTTTTAAGTTTTCCGCTAGATACAGTTTCATATGAAATGTGGATCATGTAGACTCAGATGTCAAACTAGAGTTTCAGAATCCAATGAAAATGTCAACTAGTGGTTCTGGCCGCGTTGGTGTACCATACATAGACCCACATCTTTACTCTATATTCAATATGAAAAAAATTTTGAACTCAAAATCCGATTCACTTTTGTCCCCCAAGAAGCAAACGGACAATCAAAAAACTTTCTTCATCCCCATTCACTGCCCACTTTGTAGTCCCTTAATCACCTATTGATACACACCCAAACTGCAAAATTCTTGCGCCACCTAACCACTTGCTTAAGACCAATGGAACTCAGGAGGAGCTCAGTCATAACACAAGTGGGGGTATACTCGACTCATTTCTTTCTTTCTATGTCTCTCTTCTCTTGTGTTTCAGATTATTGATCTTATTTCATTTCATCAGGCTTGTTTGTTATTTCAATTTCTCCTAATAACTGTTTTGTGCGTCTGAGTGTTGAGTTGTAGTCAGGACAAGAATATCTGAAGGTACATGAAGAATTCATTTCCCTCCTCTCATTGACTTTGTTTTTCTTTCTTATTGTTTTCTCATCTTTCTAATCTTTTATTTCTTATTGTTCTAAGTTCTTTACAACTATTAGCTTTTGGATATTAGTTGCAATAAAGTACTTGATCTCAAATTCTTACAGAAAACATCAGTGCTACATACCAACGCTGCCGCAGATACGATACGCTGTGTGTATCATGGAGAATTCTGCAAAGCTGCATGGCCAAAAACCAAATTTGTTGAATCTCCTTGCAAATAAAAGCAGATTGGTCAGAAAGTTTTTTTTTATTGGGGCTCAGATACATAGTGATACATGGCAGATACGGGCAGATACCGTATCTGTGGCAGCGTTGTACATACTATTTCCATAAAAGCTTCTTGCAGCATATTTCCTGCCAAAGATTTAAACCCTCCAGGTCTGAATTGACATCTGCAAGCGCTTCAGATTTGAAAGTAATGTCCTTCACTAGTGTTCAAGCAAAAAAGGTCCAGGGTACCTGATAAATGAAAGTGAAATTCTTCAGTGGAAAGTTGCTTTGTGGCTCATGAAAAATGGTGTCTTTTTTGCTTTTCTTGTTACTGTTCCTCAGCAGGTGGCTGGAAGTTCCTTTAAACATGAGATCAATCACATAATATTACAAGACTGACAAAGCAAGCCAATGATTGTAGATAGTAATCAGTTCAAATTTCAATCACATCTCATTGGCTTCAAATTTAAGTTTGCATTATTTGTGGTACATGTGATTTCCAACTGTGCCAATGCTCAACTTGATATATCATGAATTTATGCAATTTAGTACTTGAAACACATCTGGCACACTACATGAGCACCCAAGACAATGTTTTTAATCCCAGCAATGACCGCCCGAAACCGGTCATTGATGGGGGTGTTTGGGGGGGGGGGGGGTTTACTCCCATTGATGACCGGTCAAAACCAGTCATTGATGGGGGTGTTTTTACTCCCATTGATGACTGGTCAAAACCGGTCATTGATGGGGGTGTTTGGGGGTGTTTACTCCCATCAAGGACCGGTCAATGCCGGTACTTGATGGGAGTTTGTCCTCCATTGACGACCGGTCAAAACTGGTCATCAATGGGGGTGTTTATTCCCAACAAGGACTAAACCGGCCCTTGATGGGAGTGTGACCTCAATAAAAGTACATCTACATCTCCCGTTGATGACTGCTCATCAATGGGAGGCTTACCCCATCAAGGACTGGTTGAAATCAGTCCTTTATGGGGGTGTTTATCATTCATGGGAGGTGTACTCCCACTCCCATGGATGACTGGGTGTATTTATGGGGGGTGTAGAGTCCAAGGGGTTGAGAGGAGGTCACAAACCCCTTGGATACATGGCTAATTTGGCGGATCAGTGCCATGTTTGGCAGTCCAGGAGCAATCATGTTGGTTCAGGAGCATGGGTGGCCAATTTGGGGGTTAGATTCAATTTTCACTTTGGCCATTCTGGCGCTACAGGGGCGTCATTTGGCGGTTATTTGGCCAAAGTGGCGGTTCATCCCCATGTTTTCATTTTTTTTGGCCAAAATGGCTGTTCAGAGCATCTCCAACGGTCCTGCTGATGCGGGACCTGGGACCAACTTCAGCGGCCCGCAAGCCTTTTTTGGCCTCTAGCGGAGCGGCTGAGCAAGCTGCCGATGGTCGCGGGGGTGGATCCGAGCTGCCCTTGGCTGCTACTTTTGGCAGCTTTGGCAGCTCTCCCTCCAAGCTGCTACAACCAACTCTCGGTCGGCTCGTCGTCCAATTTTCCTTTTTTCACACATACAATTACACTGCATCTTCATATCAACACCACCACATATCTCCAGCTGTATCCATGCCTCCCAAGACTATGGTCCTCGATCCTCTTCTGGCATCAATGACTCCCAACGCACCAACTCCGACAACCCGTACGATGCCGAGAACTCAACCGGATCCAAATTCAACCCCCAAAGCCTCGGCGACTGAACCAGAAATCTTGAATGAAATCTAGAAGAGATCATCTTGCTTGTTTTTCGAAACACACATTTTGGTCGATTTTGAATGCCAGAGTTCCTAGCAATCATTCTTGTCGTTTCTGTTCTGGGTTACTTTCTGTTGTCGCTTATATTGCTGATCATGTGCTTTGAATGTCTTCCTCTTGTATATAATATGTTTCTATTTGACTTCCTCATACCGAACGCTAATCCCATTTGCAATGAAATTGTTGAATGGAAGCTTTGCAGAATATTGTCTTGATTTACTTCAAATCAAAAAAACGGAAAGTTGCCAGATGAACTTGTGCATCTCCGGGCTCTCGTTCTATGTTATACATATAAAAAGAAAAGAAAAAAAAGCATTTGCACACCGATTGAGACTGTTTCCACTGCTCTAGCCCCGGTTTCAAAGACAAGCCTCGTTCGGCTATGTAATAGACAAAGGAAAAAAAGAGGAAAAACAGAAATGCAATTAGATTTTAATTTTCATCATTGTGTTTTGGTGGTTGTGTTGGAAAGAAGGGATTGGCTTGAAGTTGATTGACGGAAATCTTCATCCACCCCTGCCCGGATCGACAGTCCATATTTTGCCCTACTGTGACATATTGGTGACAGTTTGGGACATCCGCTTCCGGGCTGCTAGAGTCGAGCCAACCCACCCCCAGACCGTTGGTGATGCTCTCAGTACCTCCATAATAAAATGATAGTCACAAAAAATCCCCCCCCCCCAAAAAAAAATCAAACAAGATGCAAAAGGATTGTAATGAACCTTGCAGTCAAACTAAGTGAGTATGAGAGGGGAGGTACCCGCGGTACCTGCCACAAGTACCGCCGGTACCCGCCGGGAGGTGCCTGGTGCGGTACTTTGTACCTATTTTCAGAAAAAATTCAACAGGTACCCAAGTACAAACAAACAATCTCTAGGGGTTTGATAAGTGCAAGCCAGCCCCCATCGCACACACCAAACTACATGCCAGGCATAGATTGGTGTGCGCAACTGCACGCCATTGCAGAATGGCGTGCAGGCAGGCAAGCCACTCGCCTGCAGGGGGTATACCCTGCAGGTTGGCGTGCCTGCCTGCACGCCCAATATGCGGTCCTATAAACATGCGTTTAGGACCTGGGCTGATGGCCCCATTGTTTTTTTTTGTTTTTTTCAAACCCCCTCGGCCTAGAGAGGCGGAGGTCACACCGCCGGGAGGAACTCCTCCCAGCGAGCCGGTGTACATGCCAGCTCGTCGGAAGGAATCCCTTCCAACGAGCTGGTTCAAACCAGCTCATAATCCAGCTTGTCGGAAGGGGTTCCTTCCGACAAAGTTTCTGGAGACAAAGCGTCGGGGTAAATCTGGGGCTGAAGATCTTTTTCTGATCCAGAAGAACCGGAGGGCTGCTGCTGAAGAAGATGATGAGGATTGAGGACGGGCTTGATTTCAGCAGAAAGGATCTTCCTCCGGAAATGGGTGAGTTGTTTAGAAGGGTCGATTTTGAAAAAGTTGTGAAAGTCGTGTTCGCCAATGAGTCGATGAGCGGCCCATTTCATGGCCTCAATGTCCAATCCAGGCGCCTGGGGAGATTTGTAGAGCGAGAAGAAGTATTTATAATGGCGAGCCTGGCAGGAGAAGCGGGTGTCGAAGTCGTGATGGACGGGCAACCAAGCCAAGACTCTGACGGAGTTGTGAAGGATCGAGTTGATGATTGTATTGTACTGCAATTCTTCTTCTGCCTCCTCCTGCTCCTGCTTTGGTCCCACTGATTTTCCTCCCAGCGAGCTGGTGTATATACCAGCTTGTCGGAAGGAACCCCTTCCGACAAGCTGGATTATATACCAGCTCGTTGGAAGGAATCCCTTCTGACGAGCTGGAATGTACACCGGCCTGCCGGGAGGGGTTCCTCCCGGCGGTGTGGTAAGCCAATCCTGAACCTCAAGACACAGCAAGACTACATATCACACAAGAATCACAGACCCAAGACCCCTCAAGAGTTTCCCCAGGCCCTCAAACAAAGGTAACAAACCAATAACCCTCACAAGTACCCCCTCATGGGTAAAGACATCTTCCACACATCTGAAACTCCTCAAATGAAACCCATGGCCAAATTCCTAGTTCAATCTTGATAAGACTTAGCTCACACACCAACTACACACTAGTACCCCTTCTCAATATAACCTCAAACCCCTCTAAAATATATTCCTTATCTCTTATCCTCCTTCTGTCCTATGCCAAGAATTCCCACACAACAGCC